AATGAGGTAAAGAATTCAAAAAATTACTCCATATACTTATAAGGAAAAATTTTACTATTCACCTTTGGACTTTTGGCCATTAAAGTTCCGCCTAATTCTACCAAACTCGCCAAACAAGTTCAATCCACTCGCAAGAACTCCATGATTCTTACGAGCTAGGGGGCTAACTGTTGGGGTCAAAATCGGTACGACGGAATCAATAGCCAAAACTCCCCACAAAAATATAAAAGAAATCGTTTTATAAGACTCGAGAATCGTTTTATAAAACTCGAGGATCGTTTTATAAAACTCGAAGAATCGTTTTATAAAACTCTAGGATCTTTTTATAAAACTCGAGAATCGTTTTATAAAACTCGAGAATCGTTTTATAAAATTTGAAGAATCGTTTTATAAACTCGAGAATCATTTTATAAAACTCGAAGAATCGTTTTATAAAACTCAAAGAATCATTTTCTAAGACTCGAGAATCGTTTTATAAAACTCGAGAATCATTTTATAAAACTCGAAGAATCGTTTTATAAAACTCGAGAATCATTTTATAAAACTCGAGAATCCTTTTATAAAACTCGAAAAATCGTTTTATAAAACTCGAAGAATCATTTTATAAAGCTCGAGAATCGTTTTATAAAACTCAAGAATCATTTTATAAAACTCGAAGAATCATTTTATAAAACTCGAAGAATCGTTTTATAAAACTCGAGAATCATTTTATAAAACTCGAAGAATCGTTTTATAAAAATCGAAGAATCATTTTATAAAACTCGAAGAATCGTTTTATAAAACTCGAGAATCGTTTTATAAAACTCGAAGAATCGTTTTACTAAACCACGAAAAACCAAAACCGCCGTAAAACGCGAACTAGTCTCGTCCCGACTAGTTCGCCCAACTGCGAACTAAGCCAAGCTGGCTTAGTTCGCCGTTGGGCGAACTAGAAGCTTCTCGACTAGTTCGCCCAACGGCGAACTAAGCTGGCTTGGCTTAGTTCGCCGTTGGGCGAACTAGAAGCTTCCCGGACAGTTCGCCAACCGGCGAGCTGGACCGGTCAGGCTCGGTTCGCCGTACGTCGAACCGAACATCCCGAGCCTCGATCTCCCGCATCCCCGATATGAAACTTACGACACGGTCCCGTTCCGAACCACGGTCGAAATGTCTCCCGTTTCGTCTCGATCCGACCTATCATTCGAGTTTTACGATAAAAACCGTAAAACTTTATTTTCTCGAAAAGAACTCGAGGAAATCGTATAAAACGGCAACGGTTAAACGAGACACCAAACATTTCCTAAACTATACGATTTATTCGAAATTTTTCGTTAAAATCGTAAAAAACGCGTTTTTAATAAAAACGTCAAGTAAATCGTAAAAAACGGAAACGATTAACCGAGAAACGAACGTAGCCAAACTTTACGATTAACTCAAGGAATTTACTAAAAACGGCATCGGATCAGGAAACGATCCCGTACAAGGTCGAAAAATGGATTTATCGCAAAACGGCCCGGAAGGTCCTAAAACGCGATAAAAACCCATCTCGCGATCTTAACGAAATCTAACCCGAAGATACGATAACGTTTTGATGGTTTACTCGCAGAAGGAAGATAAATGTCAAGTTTGAAGATAAATGGCAAGTTTAAAGATAAATAGAAGATTTCCGCGGAAAAAAAGGAAAGATCAAGATAAATGGAAGATTCCAGATAAACTCGAATTTGGGCGAAATGGAAAGGCTAAAACCGCCCAGGAGGGGAGTATATAAGCAAGAGGCATAGGGCAGAAGCAGAGACACGATTTTCAGAGCTTTCACCACCAAATTTAACATTTAGAAATATTTCTGTTTTCTGTTAGCGAGCTGCGTCTCAACTAGAGTTTTCGGTCTTAGACTTCTAGAGTTAGGGATTTCGCCGACGGCTCACTCAGCTAAGGCCACTCTCGTTGTAGCCGTTCTTACACCGATTTGGAATAAAAACCTTCTTGCTCTCTATTTCGCTCATTCATACTTTAATTTTAAGTTCATCGTTTTCTTAATTATCGTTGTGCGGTTCTGCAGATAGCCGGGTCCTCTGGAAACTTAAGATTTACTCAAAGTTTCCTTATTTACGATTTATTGACCATAGGTGAATTTCGGTTCCCACACATATCACTCGTTTTTTGGTTATATGTCGTAATGTAAATCTTTGATGCCTTGGTGTTAAATTTTGGGTGCGGATAGGCGGCGTAGAAGGAATCCAGAGATTAGAACTTTCCATGCCGAACACATTGTTAAACTTATGTGGTGAATCATTTACACTGACCACACCATAATATATTACGTCAACGAAGTTACTTAAACCCAGCACTGCTTCACTGCCGCCAACATTAATATTTTCTTTTTGTTGTGAATCTCACCGTGTCATGGAATACTTGTAAGCCACGGCAATGTATAATGATGATTAGAAAACCTATAGTATATGAGGGAGACAAAACCACTAGACTACATTAACTGTATTTTAAATGTACATACGTACCCACTAGACTATATTAACTATATTTTGATAATAAAGACTATATTAACTATTTTTTTATATATACATACATATATATTTATCTCTCTCACTCTCTTTCGTACTTAACCCATGTTATTGTTTTAATCTGAGTTTTTTACACCAAAACACACATTTTGAGTTTTTATTACATTCTAGTTGTCGTGCCAAACTATATAGCGGCCTGAGACAAAAAAAAATTTATATAAATTTAAAGTTTTTTTGTTAATCATTCTTTTAATGAATTATGTTTATATTATTATTTTTATTTAATTAGTATAAAATTGTTAGAAAATAAATAATTCTGTTATACTGTCAAATAGTTTATAGTTGAAATATTAAATTGTATATTAAGTTCATATTATTTTGAAATTACCTTTTTAAAATTTTATTTTCTCAAATATTGAATTATACTATTCTTAACGAGAGTCACTACCATGGCAAGACTTTAAAAGGTTTAAGAAAAAAACTTTAAAATAAGTTCTCGTATAATATATTCAAAATGATAATGCAGTCATATAACCAAATATATAGACAAATGGAGCAATTAGTTGGACTATAACAGTAAAAAATTTATTGTAGAAATTAGTTTGTAACTGTATGTAATGTTTCTGTAAAAATTAAATGAGAAAAAAATGAAAAAAAAGATATTTCTACAGCAATCTTACATCACTATTTTTTTGTTTTAGAAAATAACACTTACCGCAACTTTTATATTTTTTTTGAATTTACCTCTAAAAACTATTTAAAAATAATTGGTGATTTATATGATTATGGATATAAAATAAAGCTAAAGTCATTAGTTAAAAGCCCAACCAATCATTCTCAAAGTCTGTATTTTGTTTCATACATAAAATACATTTTTCATCTATAAACTGAAAGCAGAATTGAATTACATGAAAATGAATTGCACAAAACATGGGATAAGTTAATCAAACGTAGACATGACTAATTTAAGGAAAAAAATTATAGCTACTAAACTCGGGAGTTTAAGGATAGGGGGCTCCAAAAAACATTGTATTAGTTAGGACATCTTTATTGGTGGACTTCATCAAAAGTTCTTAAATTTTTTTTTTAATTTTTTATTTTTTTCTTAGAATTAAAAAAAAAAAAACCAATTGTGGATCGACACTTGTCAGTGGAACTCGTGATTGTGCTAAGAGTTACCTCTTAAATAAAAGTTTTAAGAGGCAAATCTTTAACTATTCAATGGGACCTACTATTTTTTTATTTTTTTATTTTTTTTTAAGTTAAGAATCCTTCCAAAGTTCATCAATGGAGGTAGTCTTAGACTATGTACATTGGCTGTATATTTACAACACCCTATTTTTACTCCACATCATCTTCTCTCTCTTACACATCACTTTCTATTTCTTCCACATCACAATTCAACACCCATTCAATTTTTGTTCTCTACAATGGTTTTGTTTAAAAAAAATTACAACACCATATACCACCAATTTTGTTCATACTTTTATTAAAACACATACAATCATGAAAACCTGAAAATACAATAAAAGCAAAAACAAACACATAATCGAACTAATAATTAGAAGAATTGTGGGTGTTGAAATGATTATTGGGATCCATTTCAAAGGATGTTTAGTGATATAGCAAAATGTTAGTGGAAACTATTAGCAAAAGTATAGTAGAAAATATGAGTTTTTTTCTGTGTCCACATGAAATGAAACAAGTCTCTATTTATAGAATACGAAAAAAATGATGAATTTTTATGTACATTTTTTATATATATAATTACAATTTTATGAAATAATTGATGTCAAATAAGTGAGATGAAAAAAAAAGTTAGAAAGTTTGAGCATCATTCAATTTCTTATACTTGTCTTTATTTATCTATTTTTGTTGGAATTAAAATTTGAGAGACAAACCTATTATTTTGGTCCAATTGCCACATCATATAACATGGACTCACTTTTGTGTTTACAAAGGTGTTATAAATTTCAACACTGATTTTGCCACATTAGTTTTTTATTTTTTATCAACAAACCATTGTAAGGCCAATGCCTTTTTGAATATGAGTAAGCATGGTTCTGGCTAGCTCATGTATTTCGCATTAGAGTATTTGCACCCTCTATACACAAAAAACCCCTAAATTAGGGATATACCCTATTTCCCTCTATCTCTCTCCTCCCCATATACCATTTTTTCCCCCAATTCTTAAGTATCTCTCTTTTATGGTATTGAGCCAATTCACCCTTCGCGTTATTTGCAAAATGACAAAGCCCCTGCAAAATGACAATGCCCCCGTTCTTTATGTATACCATCCAGATCTATCGATATACTATATAACTTACCAAATCTTTTGTTATTTTCACATACACCCCAGATCTTCAGTTATTTAAACATTTTCTCACATCTTTCACAATTTATAAACTTTCCTACATCTTTTGGCATTAGCATCTTTCGATATTTACAATACTAACTGAACTGATCATTAAACTAATTGAGACTATAATACGTAATGAAGAAGAAAAATAAATTTAAATTGCATTTTCTTCATTGATTTTATCTAGACCATTTATTTCACATCCTTTTCCTACAAGTTAAAGACAAAATGGAGAAAGGATGGTGGCATAAGAAAATGGCAGCCAAAAAGAGCAATTTACAAGTCATTGTTAAGTGTTGGCCGTGGAAACTTTGCTTAATGGCAACAATGGAGACTTTGTATCATCTCTTCTTCTTCTTGCTTCTTTTGCATTAAATGAGTCATGAGGCTACTCTCTTCTATCTGGATTCACACAATGACAAACTTGGTTAACATGTTGAAACATATAATATAGCTATCTTAATGTTTTTGTTTGATTTGCTACCTCCATGACTGCGGTTGAAGCCAACATATCTTCACATCGACCAAGCATGAAATTCTCTTTTGTAGCTATAACGGCAAGATCCGAAGCAAGTCTAGTCATCTCTTCCATCTGCAGTGGCAATAGAGGTAAACGTTCACGCACATAATTTTTTGGATCCATGAAAAGTAAGTAGTCTTACCTGAGAGTGTAAAGACCATATGGATGATCCCATAGCATGCATTACATCAAGAGCTGATGACATAGCCAACTTCAGAGATCTGAGGTCCACCTGTGATCACAAGAGCTTTTACTAAATCAATACTCCATTCTTGATCTAAAACTTGTTTTCTATCACCCTATGAAAAGGTAAGCAACGTACCTTTGTTCCTCCGGTTAGTGGAAGGCGCAGAGTATTTGCTTCCAAGTCTGCAATGGCGCCAGCTAAAGAACTGACATGTTCTCTCTCAAGTATGGCCCAATCTTCAAGGCAAACCATCTGTTAAAATACATACATGGAAGCATTAAGACCATGATGATGATAATTTCATGGGAGAGAGTGAGAGAAGACGTACCTGCTTATTTAAGATATCATCAAGCTTGATTTCTAGCTTCATCTGCTGGAGACAAATTCTTTGGGTTGTCACAGCATCTCTCAGGTCGGATGTTGCATGCCAGACATTGAATAGAGTTTCCTGTAACCTCAAGATTGTTAAAACAGAGCAATTCAATACAATGTCATATTAAAGATAAAAAGTATTTTTACCTCAGCAATTAACCTCTGAATATATCTAACTCCCTTAGCTCTAGCATTTGCGAACCTCCACTGTGAATATCTATTATAAAGCAAGCGAAGTTGATGAACATCTTCTATGTAACTTGTCTTTTTTCCTTTCTTGACATCAGCGATGAAACTAAGAACCGATGTCGCGGTGTTACTAGATTGTGTGCACGTGTTGGTTTGTCTTATCCTGGAAGGACTTACACCTCTTGGTGGCGGTGTAGACGACCTCAAACAAGAGAGATTTGTGCCTCTTGAAGGACTCGATCCTCTCAAGGGACTCATGCCTCGAGAGTTAGAGGATGATGATGAAAATGAGGATCTGCTCGGAGAAGCAGTGCGTGATCCAGGAGCAGACAAGGGATGCACTCTAGCTGAAGTTGCCCTATCTAATGAACTTGTTGACAAAAGCCTGTGTCTAGACTCATCTTCTGAGTTTGTTGGAGACATTACTAATCCACTACTTTCATACGAGGACAACAACCTCGCTGAGTCACTAGAAGACTTCTGCAGAGGTTTAGAGGTTTTAGATATTCTCTTAACCGCTTTATCACCAAGATCCAAGCTTCTGTTCATAGAATCTGAGATGATCTTTCCACCAATTCTACTAGGCCATCGATGCTGTTCTATTAACCTACTATGAGGACCATCTACAGGTTTTGAATTCTCTGATTGACATGCAGATACATTCTTCCCTTTCAGTGGACTTCTTTTCCTCTCGGGGGTAAGTTTCCTAGACACAGACGTTGTTGTTGTTGTTGTCTCACTCTTCTGCTTTTGTGTTATATTCAAAGATGGTCTCAATGTCCGATCAATCGAAACAGTTGGTTTCTCTTTTTTACTAACAGGAACTGACACTGAATCAGACTGAAATGAAACGCTGAGACTTCTCATAGTAGAAGGCCATAAGCCTTGACCAGTAGGTAACGTCCTAGACGAAACCGGTAAATCTAAAGATACATCACTAACCGGTGTGGACGGATTAGTGGGAGTGGTTGGCGTTGAAGAGCGTTTCCTTTCTGCTGAAACTGCTCTTTTGGATTCAGTCCTCGTGACATTAGGCGAAGGACATCTCCGAGTTTTAGTAGGAGTTGATGATCTGTATCTTGAACTAACTTCCACTGTTCTAGACCGGCGAGTGGCAGCAACTGCATTGTTCTTCTCAGCTGGAACAAGAGGCGGTCTTGTAGTATCTGTAACGGATTGCTGTTGTTGCTGCTTCTTCATTGATGCTTTCTTGAAACCATGTAGCACTTCCATTCAAGCTAACAAAGACAAACTTGCATTTGATATGGTTCAGCAGATGATGCTCTTTTATTCTGCAATAAGGCAGGAGAAAAGTAAGATACCTCACAGATGTGTAAGATGGAGAAAAGCAAAGAGAATATTTAGACAACCAAGATGATAAAGAAAGAACGGAAAAGATAATATTACATCTTTACAACAGAGAAACAGATCAAGAATCTCTTAAAAGCAATCCCAGTCGAAAATAGAATTTGAAAGATGAGATCTCTAGGTGTTTTTTGAGATGGGTTTTACATCAAGAAACCAAAACAGATCAAGGCATGGAGATTGAAAAAAAAAGACAAGCTTTGGTCCTTGGGACAAGATGACTTGTTCTACAGTAAGGGTCCCCTCTAAGAAAAAGAAAAGAAAGAGACAGCAAGAACAGCTTGAGACCTAGGATTGAAAAGAGATAAGAAAAGCAGAGCCTAGGACTATAAAAATCAAGTGTCAAACAAGAAAGCAGAGAGAGAGAGAGAGAAAGAGGCAGGTCTAGCTAGTACTAGTAGAAGTAGTTTAATTGAACTTTCACATTTACAGAGATATTCTTGATTTGGATCAAAGACTTTACTTTACACTTGTGTACAAATAAGATCTAATTTTTCAGTGTCATTGTCACGGGTGTGCCATGGTCTGATGGGTTGGAGTAATTAATGAAGATTTCAAGTTTCATTCACAGACTCACCTTTCATCGTCCTTCTTTTTCCATCAAAATCAGAACCATCAAAGTTCACAAAAAAAGAAGTTTCCTTGACTAAGATTTTTAATAATTCATTTTAGAAATGGATTATAATAATGCCTGTGAGCTATAATATTATAATAAGATTTGCAGATTCATGTGTTTGATTATGGGAAGAGACAAAGAGGACCATGTGTATAGAAGAATCAGTGTCCATTCTTAAGTTAAACGGTGAAAAAAAAATTTCGCAGTAATAGGTGACAATAATGCAGATGTTTAAAATATAGTTTATGTTTTCACTATTTGAGTTAAATATCAGAAGAAAACTTACAAAATTTTCTAGGGAAAAATGAAATTTGGGATTCAAAAACAATATTTTTTGGGGGTTTATAATGAGATGAGAAGAATCCAAAAGTCTGTTTTTATTTACACGGCTGGTGTCTGTCATGAAGCAGACAAGTTTTATCGGTCGAAAATAATTTGGAATTTTAATAATTAAAAAAAAACTTTCTCTGCAAAATCATAAATTGTTCTTCGTTCATTAAATCTCTCTCTAAACGCCAAAAACGGAAACAGGAACTGGCAGTGTCGACTAAACCAGATTCGCTGTTTCTAATTTTTGAGTCCATTCTGTTTATCATAATTCAAAATTAGGGTTTCTAATCTGAATGCGGTAAACAGGAGAAATTTACATGAAGTTGAAACTGGGTTCTGGGGATTCGAACCTGGAAAACGAGAGAATGGTCAAAAACAATCAGATCCGAGCGTGATTAGAGTGTAACATTCCTCGCCGGAAATGGATAAATCTCGCCGGAATAGCACCTGAGAGATATAATTTTGTGAATTTGAAAACTCTTAGAAAAAATATATTTTGAATTTTCTTTTCTTACTACTGCATTGTATTTTGATCGGTCGTTTTTTATAATTATCTGGGTTGGTTATTACCTAATAAAAGAGAAAGTTGAATTTTTAATAATTTTAAATCATTGACCCCCACAAAAACATCGTATAATGATAGTGATGTTATTCACAACTGACTTTTTAGTGTAAAGTCCGTTGTATCTTATGCAGAAAGAAACAATTTCGTAATTAAATTTTGACACTCTTATCTGCAATATATGCAGAATATTTTTTTTTTTCAACAAACACATTAACTGTTACTAAACTAATATCAACTGGATGTCAAAAAAAAACTAATACTAACTACAAACGACCCTTAAAAGTTAAAACCAAATCGGCAACACCAAAGCAGAAGGAAAATAATGTGATTAAATTTAAAATTTAATAAAAAATAATAATGTAATTGCCAAAATTGGTTAATTCATTTTCTTGCTCTGTCTCACATTTATTTAAATTTTATATGATAGAAACAGCCTAAGTTCTTTAATATTTAATAATGGTTTCAAGATTTTGCATATCTAGGAAAATAATCCATCAAAAAAACTGCAGTCTTATAAACATAAAAATAAATCGACTTACCATATAATCAATAATAGAAATATCAAATATTTTTTATTTATCCATTAAAAATATATTACTGTATTTTTTAACTTTAAAATATATTTATAAATTTAAATTCATACAAATGATTAGTGCTGTTTGTGTGAATATTTCTTATTTAACTGTATAATTATGAAATTAATTATTTAATAAGTTATAAATGTATTTATTATTTAGTCTAATAATTTAATTATTTTAAAGAATTTTTATATAGATATAATATCAACAGATATTTTATTATTTGAATTAAAAAATTAAAATTGGACTAATACTAATTTATAATTATATTTGGTGATTAAAGTTTTATCTAATTAAATTTCAAATTATATTTTAAAATTATGAGTTTTTGTTATGATTAAAAGCGTACATTTATATTTTAAATAAAAGTATATTGAAATATAATAAGAGTTAATCAGTTATAATTTGGTTTCATTATATAAATTTTTAGATCTCTAATAGCATAATATTTATAAGAAAACTAATTTTTCTATATATCTCATCTGAAAGAGAGTCAGTAGCAGAACTTGACTTTTAAAATTAATAAGATAGGTGTTAGTGTACTTGATTGCACATATTTACCATTTTATTATTTTTTCCGTTTCAATTTAGTTGTCATTTTGAATTTTTACACACAATTCATGAAACATTTAATTTTACATATTTTTTAGAAAAAAACACAATTACTTATGCATCTAACCACATTTTAACCAATAACAAATAGAAAAATAGATAAAATTAATAAATTATGCATTGAAATTATAAAACGACGTTTATTTAGAAATAAAAATTTTATTAACGACAACAAAATTGCAACAGAAAGAATACTATTTAGCTTAATGTCACAATGGACTCGGTACCTCAAACATTGGGAAAAACTTATAATATTTTCAGTCTCTAAAAATAGAAAAAATAAGAAACCGAAAATACTGCACATACGTGAAAAATAGAATTATATATTCAATTATTGGAATTCAAGATCAAACTTTTTTATTCAACAGAACTCAAGAAACATTTGTTTATTAATTATCTAGAAATTTGATTATATTTCGGTACTCGCTAGCCTAAAATTATTGTTTTATTACTAATATGACATATATTTTTCTTACTTTGGGTTTAGTTTTAAATAAACAAAATCATGTTAATTTTACAAAAAAGTTCAACATAATTCTTAAATTGATAGGCTGGTTTTTAATTTGAACAACATAGGGTTCCGCCATTATTTGTTTGCAAAGGTTTTCTTTTCTTTCTTGATACTCTTCTTAGGTGGAAATAAATTAACTCCTCTCATTTAAGCTTTACCTAATTCATTTCTCGTATTTTTCCAATTCTGATTTTTTTTCTTTGTTTTATTATTGGTGATTTTACTATGGAACAATGTTTATTTCACTTATTATTGTTACTCTATTAGTCAAAGTAATATTTAAATTTTAGATAAACGTATTATATGTAGAAATGTGTGAGTATTCTAAGAAATATGTCATGACAAATATAATTAGTTGTCACAGTTTTGAGTAAATAATACCAAAACAACATTTTCATGAGTATTACACATAAGACAAAGTTAAGTAGTCTATGATTAAAACACAAGCTTACCTAACCGCATTCATGAATTTTGTATTAGAGTAATATTGAAGCTATATACTAACAAGGTGCTAATATTATTGTAACCATTACAAAATTAAAATGCCGAAAGAGAAAGATAAGTTAGATTACTCTTCATTCTTTTTGGCGTTTGGTGTTGTTAAGTATACAAGCAAAGACCAAATGATGAGCATTCATGTGCTTAGCATGATTATATTGTGACCACCATTTAGTTATTGCATATGCTATGGTTCTCCAATGTTCGCATTCCTTTTTTATTAAGTCATTGGATCTAATATGTGCCAATATATAATAATAATAATATATCATCCAAAATTATTTCATACAATATCCCTCTATTATCTAGAGAGTTGATTATATATAGTAGATGATCAAATGACCATGATTCAGCTATCAAGTTTATTGAAATGAATCTCATGGGATTCTATCATCATTTTAGGATTTTGCCTATAAATATTGTGAAAATGTGTTCTCCTTTTTCTTCTAATTTGAATGAAAATTCAAATCAAAATTAGAAAAGGCTTGTCCAGGAGAACTGTGGAACTCAAGATCCCGAATCCAGCTTGTCAAAAAAAATGTATTCTCAAAACAACCTTAAACACTGGTTGCAAAATAGTTTTAAGAATAAAAGTTTAGAATTATACATTTTTCTTAATGCAAGTAGGCAAAACTAGAACCAGAGATCCATGTTTCAGCATGAGGAGAAAATAAACTGTCCTTTATTATTTAAAAAAAGAATAATGAAGTTGACATTGGATGCCATATAGGCAAATCCTAAATCACAAGGAAACAGTAGGAACTGAAGATTATGAAAGAGACATAAAAGAGGATCTTATGTGATGTCTGGAAGATCTTGTCTCCACAAGTGAGTTCACTGAATAGAGATTGAATAACAAGTCTAAATCCCAGAACCATTCACAGTGTCAATTGAACAATCATGAAACATATCAAAAGAACAACAATTTTTTTTCTTTGATTTCCATGGTGCATTATTAATTTTATATAGCTAAAATAAACTCTGTTTTTAGCAGATATTTAGGAAAGTTTTTGGTAAAATCTTGATGAAACAACTTTGTTTTTGAGCATTGTCATTGATGTCAGAATGGGGCGGCACTTCCAGAAACATCCACAACAAGGGTGTGTCGATGGAAGCCTCTCGATCGTGTTAGGAATATCATCATCAGATCTCACTTACCAAAAACTCGTGACGGCCAATGCAACCTAACGTGACAGCCCGATACGAACCCTGATCACATATATTTCTATGAAACCCTCACGGGGTCCAAAGCTGATATCTGGGCTCATTATATTAGTTTTTTAGAATTCTTAGTTAAGACATTAGTTTGAACATTGTCATTTCGTTCCATTATTTTTTCTTTTTCTCATGAAACCTGAGATTGAAGAGACTGTCTGTAGGTATACCACACACAAAAAACATTAGCTCCATGATATCTCTTGAGGCTACTAATCTTATGGTAAATTTACGCATTTGCTCTTTGATGTAAATATTGTCGATAAACATGTCACAAGAATGCCAACAACGGTGGGGGATAAAAAGTATAGAAATACCTTATCAGCAGTGAAGGGAAATAGGAAAGGTGAAACTAAGAATAAAGATGGTTCACT